TCCTACTTTACCACCACTGTCCTCTTCTACTCCACTTCGTGTGTAATCCCATCGGCCCAACGCATCTAGTGAGATGCCCATATCACCTTCCTCGACGCCTTCTGATCCTAGTCCCCTTGTTACTTTTGGCTCTCTACCTATTACACTTCGTCAAGGTATTTGGTCTTGTGTTACTAACCATCCTATTACTAATTTTGTTTCTTATGACGCCTTGTCTCTTACATTTTCTTGTTTTATATCTAAGCTCTCTTTTGTTTCCATTCTAAACACCTTACTCAGAGCATTATCAGACTCGAGTCAGAGAAAAGTCATAGAGAAGGAGATAGATGTCTTACATGATAATGGGACTTAGGAACTTATTTCATTACCCCTTAGTTAAAAGGTAGTTGATTGTCGATGGGTGTATACGGTCAAATTTAATCCTAATGGCTTTGTTGAACACCCCAAAGCCCAACTTGTTGCAAAAGGTTGTACTCAAAGCTATGGCATTGATGAGGAGACCTTTTCTTATGTTGCTAAAATTTCTTCTACTCGTGTGTTGATTTCTTTGGCTACTAATTTTAATTAGTGTTTGTTTCAATTAGACATCAGAAATGTCTTCTTAAATGATAACTTAGTTAAAGAAGTTTACATGGAGCAGCCACCTGGGGTTACTGCTCAAGGAGTGAATCACAAGAGTGTTTGTTGGCTAAAGAAATCCCTATATTGTCTAAAGCAGTTGCCGAAGGCATATTTTTGTAAGTTTTTAGAGGTAATTTTAGAGTTTGGTCTTCTTAGATGTTAGATAGACCACTATCTTTCACAAACATATGGATGTAGAGTACATTATACTAGTTGTTTATGTGGATGATATTGTGATTATCGGTAATGATTCTAAGGGTATTGTCAAGTTAAAAATCTTCTTGCAAGACCGACTTCAAACTAAAGGTCTAGGCAAACTAAGGTACTTCTTGAGTATTGAAGTTAATAGATCTAAACAGGACATTTGTTTGTCGCGGAGAAAATATGTGCTTGAAATGCTAAAAGAAACTAGCTTGTTAGGTGGTAAACCAATCAATTTTCTTATGGATCCAAATCAAAAGCTATTGATGGATGATAGTGCACTATTTGAAAATCGAGGAAGGAATCATATGTTGGTTGGGAAGGTAAATTATCTCATTATTATTCGGCCAGATATTGCATATACAGTTAAGTGTTATGAGCCAGTTTCTAAGATAACCTAGAGTGCCACAATAGGTTGTAGTCATTCCCTTCTTTCATAACTTAAACATGTTCCTAGACTTGGTGTTGTATCAAGCCAATAGACAACTTAGGGTGGAAGGTTTTACATATGGCAATTGGGTTGGTTTTCCCTTATATCGAAGATCCACTACTAGCTTGTTAGAACAAAAATTCTAATAATCATTGATAGTGCATATGCATCGAATACAAAAAAAAAAAATTTTAAAACCCTACAAGGCGGAATTAGGATTTACCTTCGAGATCGCTCTAAATTGATCTCGTCTCAGCGCGAACGTAGAAACTAACAACAAACGTGAAAAATAGCTCAACGAACCTTACGGCCTTCTATTGTATATCCCCTAACATCAAAATCTGGATACAGTGTCAGCTGTAAGAACTTCTGAACTTCTGTTCTCTCTCAGCTTGTCTAAAAAACGTGAGTAACAAATTGATACTGATTTAGAGAGCCCAAATGTTTATATATAGGCTACGATAGAAACCCTAAGAAGAAATAAGAATCAAACTTCTAATGGGCCTAGGATTCCTATGTTTAACCCAGAACAAACATTCTACAACCCATTAATAATAAGTTAGTCCACTAAAAACTTATTATTGATCTTCTAAACCTTATCTCAAAATTATATTCAAACTCCTTGTTATATATGTTTAATAATCTCTCTACGTTTAAAATTACAGATGTCCATCAATTAAATAAATTACTGATAATTATATTTAATTGACTTCTTTTATTTTTTGAGACCTTACCACTCAACTTATTTGTCAGGTCAGATAATTAAATTCACCTGCAAAATTTAACATGGACAAAACTTATGAATTTCTTCAAGAGGACAACATCAACCCATTTAAATAGCAGGACTTGGTTTCTTTTAATAATTAATTTTTACCATACAAATAATATCGTTTCTCAATTCACTAAACTGATTGACTCAATATGAATCTCACTCTTTAATAAATTAAAGTAACAAACATTATATATACGTGACAATTAAATATCTCGAGATTAAGAGCATAAACAATCATAATAATAATTAGGTATTTATTATCTTATTGAATCAGTAAAAAGATAATAACCTCAACATGGGTCTGTTCAATACACAAAATACACTAGTGCAATAATCCGATACATCAAACAGTCTCCTACAGTCAAGACAGACTATGCCAAAATATACACTACAATCATACTGATGGTGTGTCCAATTCCATCTAAGATTATGAACCTATACTCATATTATACAAGAATCCAATAATCTGATCTTTTGTGTATAAGCTGAACTCTGGTGTGAGATTATCTACAATGTAAAATATAAGACACATGAATACCATATATTAAATATAATACAAACATTTTGCCCATATAGATTCTCAATAAAATGGAAAGAACAAGCTTCTATTAATTAATAAAACGAGTTTCACTATAAAAAGTAAGTTTTTAGTATACAATTCTATCAATTGTAAAGTATGTGATTACATGAAAAAGTAAGAAATAAATAGCAGTAGCACGATCCATTGCTAAAGCTAAGTATAGAGCGATGACACAAACCACTAGTGAGTTGACATGGTTATTACACTTTCTTTACAAAATTAGTTTCTCAATCCAGCTTCCCTTATAGTTCGGTTATAATCAAACAACTCTTCATATTGCAGTGCATAAAAAACCAAATATATCGAAGTTGATTATCACTTTATTTGGAACAAGATACTAAGTGGAGATATTGCAACACCATTTATGAAATCTGAAAATCAACTTACAATTGTGTTTACCAAAACAATGAATCATACTCGTCTTATAGTCATTTATTCCAAGGTTGGATCAATGTTACTTGGATCGTGGGTCGTTTTAGTACGTGGTACGGGTACACTGTACGATATTTTTTTAGGTACGCAATACGATAAGGATATGCTTAATTGGTACGATATTTTGGATCACAATTGATTTTGAAACTCTTATGTAGATCGTTTTCCCTATTATACAACATTATATATTATAGAACATTCATAAACACCAAGTTAGTTACTATTTACTTTATAATTGTGTATGATTTTATATTTTCTAAAATAATATATAATTATAAATCTATATACATGTAATCAACTAATTTGTATTTTGCATTTGTTTTACATGTTCTAAAGCGAATTGATTTAGGGTTAGTATTACAATTTGGAGCCGCCCATTTTGGTGATCTGAATCGGAAACCCACCCCATTTAGAATCGATGTACCCAGATCGTGGGTCGTCAAAAGTTTAGTGAATTGTGGTAACCATAGGTTGGATTATATAATTTATATACTCCAACTTGAGGGGAAGAGTTAAGAGTATTACTATTTATATGGTTGTAAAAAGTATACCACTTGAAGGATATAATAGTCTTTTATGGTTTTCTCAGGTACATACAAATATAAGTTGAAAGAGGGAGGGAAGGTATGATTCCAACTTCTCAGCCTCTTCTCATATTGTTCTCTTATTCTCTATTTCTAAACTTGACATACATAATTTAACTAAGCTTGTTGGCTTGACTAGTGAGCCAAAGCCTTTGAATTTATCACCACATACAAGCTCACCAGCTAGCTAGGATGTTGAAGAAACTTTTCACTCCGAAAGTTAAAGATGACTTGAACACATATGCAAAGAAAAGAGTTAATCCTCCACCTAAGGTATATACTAGAGATTGGAAGCATTGTAATGTCAAACAGAATTGGGTTAGAATTGAAGACTAAGAGACTCCACCTCATTGCTATTATGGAAGTCCCTCGGACTACCAAGGTAACGGATGCACCTAAGGTTTCGATGAGGTGAGACATGGTCCTAGGTGGGTATTCTTGCGTTACATCTCAATGCCTATGGCCTTACATTATAAATATTTTTCATTTTTTTTTCACTTATTTTCAATTAACCAAAAAAAAAAAACAAAAAAACAAATAACCAAAAAAATTTTTGTTTTTAGGGTTGAAATCATTTTTGGTTGTTTAGGATTTTCCAGTGTTTTATTTTTTTTCCTTGTTCCTTGCATTACTTAGATTCATTTTTATATTTCCCCGGTTATTTGACAAATGCCAAAAAATAAAAATGAAAAAAAAAAGAAAATAGATTTTTTTTTGTGGAATTTTTCATTGTTGACATGAGTATCATATTTATACTTAAATTTTTTTGAATGTAATCTCATTTCAAAGTTTGTTACTATATTATACATAAAGTGATGGAGAACTTAGAAATTTTAATTCCAATAGAATAATTTGAATCTAAGTCTCTTTCACATGCACATAATTGAATTATGCAAAAGCATTGAAAGATTTATACAATTTTGTGCACTTTTAGCTTTCACCTTCATTGTTTTAGAATGATTCCAAATGGGTGAAAATGGTCTTAAATTGACACAAAACAAAGGCAGCCAATGTTTAGCAAAATTGCACCAAAAAATTATCTATATGTGCAAAACAAAAACTTTTCGGATGTTTCGACCATTTCGAAACGACATTTTGAACGTTAGGTCAATCTCACTCTCAGATTCTATATTTTGACAAATGTATCTTGTTGAGGTTATACAATGCTCTTTTCAAGCATAAAATATCATTTGACTTTTGCAAACTCAACACATAAAGGAAAAGGAGAACCAACAAATGCTAAACACAAGTAGCAGGCATGAACACTCAATGCACACGATGATGCATAATATTTTGCTTCAACTTGTATATCACAACTTACATAATGATTGAGATCTAGGTGCATTACAAGAAGTAAAGTAACTACTATGGTAAGAAGTATTACGAACTTAAATGAATCACATTTTCACAAGACAAACATCTGTCAAAAAACAAATTTGATATTGAACCAAAAGTCTTACCATCCTTCAAAGCAGACGCATCTTCCTGTTCCTGCATAATTCAAAGATATCAGATGAGGTGAATTTTTTCTTCCATTTCTTTGTTATGAGGGGGGAGGGGAGGTCAATTATAAACTACTGGTTGCATAATGAGATCTAATGCACATGGAATTGAACGTGATGTTGGCATGCGGATCACTGTAACAAAAGTTCGACTACTAAGACAGAAGGCAGGCGATTCAAAATGTGGGGCAATAGAATCTCCTGGCGTAGGGAGGGCCAACCGATCCAACTTTCAAGCATCAAGATAGGTTTCAGGCATGGATGAAACTCATAAGAGATTCCTGTTCTTGAAAATCTGCACTTTTCAAAATCTAATTGAATGGTTTGAATGCTTATGATTTTGCACCCTTACAGTATTTCTCAAAAAGTTGGTTTGGTTACTTTCATGTGAAAGTAACCAAAATGACCCAAAACAGCCCACCCTTGCCAGATAGTGCAGAAGTCATTTCACGAATACCAACATCCTTCACTCATGAGTTTAGTTGCCCATTTCTGACCATGTTTAAATTCAGCTTAATGTACATTTGTGGAACCCGACCAAAACCTTGCTAATTAACATCCCCAATGAGAGTGTTTGATCAATCAGTAAAACACAGACCGAATAAAACATAGGCTAGTTAACATGGGGACAAGAAAAAAATGGAATTCAAATTTCTGAAGCATTTTCAGGATTCACGGAAAAACTAACCAATCAAACAATTTGAAATGCATTGATTCTTAACTAGGCAATGTTGAAATAACACCTAAAATTAAACCTTCCTTAACAGACACCATAGACTCGGCCAACCATTATCCAAAAGAGTCACATTGTGTCTGATGAGTTCTTAATAATTGAGGATAATGTTACAAAGGCACTCAACCGGAATGCCTAGAACCCACTAATTGATATCCAAAACAGAGAGGGGAACCAGTTAACCAACTAGCTTTCACAGAGCATATTTCATGTCACTCAGAAGGAAACATCAACATAAAGCCAGAAACTCAAGCTTTATATATAAGGAACTCAAGCTTCTTATTCACAGCAATTTATTGAACAACAAATTATGACACTATTGATGGTGAAACTACTGCAAGATATAATTACTGCATACCTGGGCTGCTCGCCGTCGTTGCCTTTCAAGCTCAATTTTTGTTTGCTCCCTTTCTTTTCGCAAGCGTTCATATTTCCGGCGATGCTCTTCAATTTTGTGAGCATTAGGTTCAACCTGCAAATTTCACAATCAATAACCCACCAAAAGCATAAATGGTATCTTACTCAAAAATGGATTTTTTTTTTCTATAAAAAAGGATAAGGTAAAGAAAGACATATGACATGTACAAGAATGTCAAGGGAAGATAAAAGAGAGAGAGGGAAAAAACTACCTTTTTAAGGACTTCACCAATCTCCTCATCATAATCTATGTTTGAAGCCACATGCAGATCACTTGCTGCCGCTTCCCACAGGCCCAACATGGCCCTCGCCATTCCCCGCATCTTATATCCTTTTGCTGAGTCAGGGTTGATCTGAAACAAAATTATCTCGATCAGGACAGAGATGAGATAACGCAGGAGCACCATTAAGTAATCAAGCTCCAATTTATCCTGCAATTTGTTAAAGCCTATGAAGAAACAGAGCTATTAACAAACCTTTAGAGCCGCATCAGCATCACAGATTGCAGCATTTGGTTTTTTCAGTTTAATAAAGACACTCGCTGCAAGACAGAATGTTAATTTACCAAAAATGCAAATGATTAAATGCATACACTAAAGTAATCCTAAGGTATCTGTAAATTACATTTTTCAAATACCTCTAGTTGCATATAATATTGCTGAAGTTGGATTCAACATGATAGCTTCTGTTAGAAAGTCCACGGCTTTGTTAAACTTCCCTACAATGCACAAAAAATGCAGTCAATACAAAAATTATGCCAAAAACTCATATCAAAGAAGGTCAATAAAAAAAGCTAACTACAGCAATAGCCAAGAAGGCAGTATACCTTCGCAGATTGCATCCATCGCATTTGATTTTGATATTTGCGCAGCATCCTGACTTTCTTCAGTTATTTCAATTGAAGGATCTCCCATCTGCAATGAAACAACACAGGAATATTTTTTCCAATAGCAAATGTCGTTGCCAACCAACTTCATCTCAACCAATTCTTAGTCACCCACCTTCTGTGGAGGATCATTATCAGGCTCCACGACATCAGCATTATCCAACTCAACATCAGACTCCACAATATCCTCATCCAATTTATTATCAACTGAATAATTGGAATTTTTGGTGTCAAATTGTCCCTTGGAATGTGAAATGTCCTCACCATCTTTATCCTGCACATAAAGTGATTTTAACAGCAGACACAACATCAAATATATAAACTTCATAAAACAGTTTACCTGAGAACCTAAAAAATTTCACAAAAGGCTGCACACCGACTGCAACTAGTATCTTCCTAGAGCTATAGAGTCAGGTACTCAAAAAGTTCGTAATAGATTAAATTTAAGAATATAAGATATATTAACTTTAAGGAGTGATTTCAGGTTGCAAGAAAAGTAGAAGGTATATGTACAGGCACAGCTAATTTCTAGAACTACGAGATCTATCTTTATCATTCCCCGCTAACCTGACTGGCCACATTACTAAGTTCCTAGGAACAAGCCAAGAAGATTTTGAGCCCATCGCCAAACGAACCTCTGGTCCCTGGGATTAACATCCAGTGGGTTTTTTAAAAATCTTTTTGATCCATAGGAAGAGAAAGAATCTTATGACTGTAAAAGAAAGTATGAAGATATGTATATTGCATATACTTAATTTTTAGAATAATATGAAGATGTGTATATACTTAGTTTTTGAATTAGGGGATGCCTGATACCAAAACAAGCTTGCAAAAGAGAGTATATGTTCTATCATTAACTTTTAATGGAACATTAGTCAAATCAGGAGCGTGGGTCAAATGCAATTTTTTGAAAGACCAGTAGCAAAAAATGGAATTCTTGTTTAGATAGGTATGACGTGTTATGTCAATACAAATGAAACTCTATAATGTCTAAAGAATAAAGCAGGGCAAGTAGACAAGCTTCAAAATGTGTTTGTTGGAATTGAGACTTTAGATTCAGATAGATTAAATTATTTCTTTTTTGTCAATCTACCTTTCTTTTTAGACTTTCTTTTATGCTCAACAATTGGCTCTATTCTAACGATAACTAGCACACTTTTGTCTTGTTTTGTCACTTATTTTCTATCATCACAATATTTTTCAGAAATTTCCCTCAATATTCTATTCCTGACTACTCATAGTAAGTTAATTTTTTGCGAAATATTGAATATTTTGATAGAATGATAGAAAAGGATTTCTTTCGTATCAAAGAATGGTTCTTTCGAATATTCATTGAAAGGAGACAAGACTAAAGCATCACCTCTTAACGATCATATAACAAACTGACCTTGTTCTAAATCTGAGTGTTCACCTCTAAAAACTACTAGTTCTTTTCAAGAACTTTAGTTTGGTTCTAACACTCGTCTCATGTATGATTAGACAAATTCGGTACCATATTATGGTAACCTACCTAGGATAAAATTAATGAGAGTAATAGGAAAAGAGTGGAATCGAAAATTAATTCACTTTAACTGCCAAGGAACTAAATTTCGTTTTGAAACGGTCAAAACAGCTAAGACATTTCTATTTAGTATGTTTCGGTGAATTTTAGCATATTTTGAGGTGTTTTAGAAATAAATTTCCAATTTTTTCATTGTTTTGATCAAGTCTTCGAATTATTTGTAAAGTGGAATGGATATAATTTTGTGCTATGAATACATGCAAATGATACTTGTGAGCACTTCATTTGTATGATAAGACCTTAATATCCTCCAAGTGTATTTGTTTGATGAAAATGAAGCGTTTAACATTAATTGAAATTACTTCCACCTCATGTTCACCTTTTTGTTCCTTCTCTAACTTGATGTTATCTAGTATGGTATAAATGGATGTTAAGAAAATAAGCATCCTTAATTAATCAATTATTAAACTTATCTATATAATAAAGAAATTTTAATTTATGTTTCCATCTATTTTCACATGTTTCCAAATTTTTTCTCTGTTTCCAAAACATTTTTGTTTTTGAGCTAATCAAAACAATAAACCGAAACACATTTTTTATCCGTGCTCATTGCTTTGATAGAATTTATAAGATGGAACTTTCTACAGACATAATTTTTAACGTTATGAGAAAAATACATTCTCCAAAATCTAATCACTCTGAATGAGATTTCAAATGCAAGCAATTCAAGTCTACCTTAAATGTGATCCATTCCAACTAATCAAAGTTCATAAACCATTGAATAGTTTGTTTAAGACTTATGTTATCAACTACTTTATATGGAGTTGAGGATATTCAAGAGAAAATAAAAAATAAAAAGAACAAAATTAGTAATCAGTATATTTGTAAAACGACAGAAGTAACATTAATCAGAGATCAATTAAAAGAGAATCCACTTAGCAGTTTAGACATATTTATAAAAGATCTATTATAGTACGAAGAGTAATGTGATACCTCTAAACAGCAATGAATGAGAGGGGTCGAGATAGACAAATTGTAAATAGTTAAAAAAGATAGATAGCTTGTGATATAACAAAAAATACGACCTTGATAAAGCACAATAGAGGAACATAATTTATGGAACCAACCCCAATTTTTGGAACAAGGCTATATTGGCTTGAGTTGAATATAATAGAAACAAAACTGTTCTTTATCATTGTTTTATTTATTTCCCTCCCCCATATTCTCTATATGGTTCGCTTGAAAATAACTGTTCACGCAGTTTTCCTTTTGGATTAGGTAAGTACTTATTCAGCCGTGTGGCCATTACAAATCTAACAAGCGGGAAGTGATCATCAATTGTTGTGTGTTGTTTAGCCGGGGGGGATAGTTTTTGTAACTGAGAGACCAAGTGAAAATTTTGTGTTAGAAGCCATTCGACAAAGCGGGAGACTGGGGAGAAAAAGTCTTCCTCTCCTTATAAATTGCTGTTGATGATTATTCTCAAATTGAAACCACATCATTTTCAATGAACATCAAAAAATCCTGGTAGCAATGAATTATTATAATAGTTACTTTACTATAGTATATAATCTATTAGCAGTCCGAAGAGCAGAAAGAAGAGTTATTAATTGACATCACCAAAAAGACATGTATTGCCCAAGTTCCAAGTGAAACGGTCAACATAGACCAAGACAATTCCAGATTCATATGCTTCGTAAAGCACATTGAGAAATTTTGGCTAAAGCAAGTAAAGTTAATGTTGGGGCTTACTGGTTTTGGAGCTGAAGCTGGTGGAATTCGAGCACCCAGGCTGAAAACGAGAAACACCCAGAATTCCTCAATGACCAAAATGAAAGCAGGTCATGAAATCAGTAATTTCAATAGGAATCCGTTTCCCCCATGCGCACCAAATGTTTGATCAAAGAAATGAAAAAAACTGGTACTTGCCTTTCGAGATAGCTCTTGAAAAACGACAGAGATGGGTTGTGCAGAATCGAAGGGTTGGATTTACACTGTTCCACCAAGAGTTTTAGCTCACCAATCTTTGCAGCATCCATGCTCGCTCGCTCACTGCCTCGCTAGCTAGTTCGATACCTCAACTTCGAGAATTTGTCCCATAGTTTTATGTTTGAGGCTGTCGTTATATGTTGTTGAAGCTTCTGGTGCCTACTGTTTTTTGTCGTGTCAAATATAGGGGATTTTAGTAATTAAGTTAGTCACATTAATGACATCAATATTTTTAGGAAAAAGAAAAACTATGGCAGCACCGCTTGTATTTTCCCAACTGCAGTCGGTGTCGGCGGTGGCCTCATTATTTTTTTAACGTTACATTGCCACGAAACACCCTTCTAAGCTCTCATCATAGTTATTGAACCCGACCCAGATGTTAACCCAATAAAAAAATTGGGTTAAAGGGTCACTAATTTAATTATTAATCATAATATTACACTGAAAACGCTCGATCACATTGTAAAACTCAAAAAATTCGACTATCTCAAAATTCAACAAAAATTGACTAGGTAGTTACATTTCATGTTACGAATCCAACGGTGAGCTCCGTTTCGTCATTCGAGTTCCAGAAAAAATTGACTTTTCAACCGCACCGTAACGACTAATTACCGTTTTACTTTTTTAATTAAGTTTTAATTTTTTCGAATTTTACACGGGTTCCACTGGTGAAGCTTTGGAAGGCTACATCAACAAATCAAATGAGTTGGCTAGGTATTAGGAGCCACCTTCTTGAGTGTGTGAGTGAATAAGAAGGATCACATGCTAACCGGATCAGGTTCGGGACTCATGCATTATGTTTACGGCTCGAAAAATTGGTACAAGGGTAAAAATGAACCGGTTCGAAGCTTTTTGTTTAGGCTTATACTAGTGCAAATGTGGGAAGAACTAGTTGGAAGCTTTCTAGAGCCCGATGAACCGATACAAGATATTTTCTGCAACCTGATGAACCGGCACATTAGGGTCTTCGCTTGATTTTCTGTTTTGTTCCTCCTAGTTCACTTCCTCCTCTTTGCTATGCTTTTCCAAGACATGTTTATTGAATCCACATCACCTTTCTTCACCCCCTTTATACCTACAAACACAAATTTACACATTTAATCAAAATTCCAACATAATTGGTAAAGACAAACATCAACCAATTACAAAAAGTGTAGGGTTAAATCATGTAATATGCAATATTATATGCTCAACATTCCACACAACTTAACCTTTTCTAGTCTCTAGCAAACCAAAAATAGAAAAGCATGGATCCATTCATTCAAAAAGTTCCACATAACAATAAATTTATCTATACACAACAAATATATAAAGAGAATTCTAAAACACACAATGAAATCAAAAGCGACTAATATATATTCCAAATGTTAGTGGGTTTAAAATCAAAATATGATAGCCGTAGAAAAAAACCAAAGGTTTCCTATCCGAGGCCATTACAAACCCAACTAGACAGCAGTCCTAAAAACAACAAAAACTAACAACTTACTTAACCTAGCAACCTAATCAGAGGCATCCTCATCATCCTTTGACTCGACATCATCCTCCCCTCACTCTCACTACTCTGAATCTCCTAAACAGTATCTCTTGGTTGAGAAATGAAAACAGGCGATGGCTCTGATGTCGCTGGGGGTGCAATAGGTCCTATAGTAGCATCTACAGTAAATGGTGGAGGAATGCTCAATAATGCCTCCCCTAGAGCAAGAATCTCAAACCAACGACATTGTATCCTCAAACAAAGCTCCATATCCCCCAACCATCTTACCTTGAGTCTGTCGTATCTTAGATAAATCCGATTTCATACCCCCAACCTTTCCTCTAGCTTGGTTATTCTGTGTGGAACTGTGGCTCTCAAGGTCGGTGGAGGAAGAACAGCAGCAATAGGATTAGTCGAAGAAATCAGATGATCTGCAAGCCTGTCTGCCCTAGACATTGTCAAACTCTTCTTTTCTCCCCGTCCACTAATAGGCCCCTTATCCAGGGGACTTTCCTAATCCAGCTGAGTCTTCCGCACACCAGCATTGTTATATATCACTGTAACCATGCGTGTGAAATGCAAATTTCCCCTTAACCTAGCAGTTGATATGTATTCCCTCATCACACCTCAAATAAATAGGGCAATGTCAATCCTTGACCCTTCCATAAACTCGTGCAAAAGGATGATCTTAAATAAATTGAGCCTCTTCTCATTTCCCTTCAGGTATACATTGTAATGCAAAATCTTGTTCAATGTCCTATACTCCACATTGATGCACCCCTAAAAAAACTCACCAATAAAATGTTCAACCTCCTCATACATAATCTTAGTAGAGTCCCCAAGGCTCTTAGCAGTGAACTTAAGGTGGGGGTAGTCTATCTCCTCAATGTCAGGTCTAATGTATCCCAGATACACGGCCTTACTATTAGGTGTAATCTCGATAATACGACCCCACACTGTAGACTTCAAAATCATTAGATCACTATTAACCAATTTCTACCTAGTATAGACTCATAACAAAGATTTAGAACATACCCACTAACCGGCTCTGATGATACCTAAAATAAAATTCAAGTGCTAAGCTTAGGAGGTCAGCTCAGACCAGGAGGTTAGGCATATTAGCAGAGGTCAGAGGGTAAGGGTCGAGTGTCTCTTAAGGCAAGATAATAGCTGGATAACCACGAGAGAATCCTAAAGCATTAGGAAGCTGTAATCAAGGCACCCAATCTCAACCAACCAAGATCTTCTCCTAGAATTAAAAAGAAGCCCACGAAATAAGGGCAAAAATCTCGGCTAAGATCCTTCTTAGCAGGGAATGGCCTTATAAATGCAAGATAACACTCCCTAACGAAGGGAGAACCCTGGTGGCAATAGGAAGTCATAGCAACTTTATAATCATCGTGAATAAAACAAAAGAAGCAAGAACCTCCATTGAAGAGTGGACTAGCCAAGCTCCTGAGCCGGTGAACCACTATATTTTCACTGTGTGCACCCCTTTAATCCCCTGAATATTTTATGATAGCATCATACACGAGCCTCGTAGCTCTGATCCACACTCATCTCACATTATTTTCACCTTAAGCTCATCCACATTGATATACGTTATCAGTTTGACGCCGTCTGTTGGAACGACTGTTCCTGTTACAAATAAAGCTAATTTTCTAGTGACTGATGGTATCAACGTGAAATATGAGCCAAAGTCAGACCAATCCTCTACGAATGCAAGATCAACAGAAAGCCGCAAATAACAAACAACCCAAAAATGCGCAAGAAATAGATCCCTTTATGGGGGCCTTCCCATGAATAATGAGATGGAGGCCCTTCATCTTGTCAATGAATGTCTGATAAAATAGAACGAAGAGCTCTTAAAACTTGTACAATGCTCACAGGAGGCGCGACCGGCCCAAGGAGGCTAGAATAATCCACTACCAATGGAGCAACCGCATCTCGAACCCCTCAGAGAAGTTAATGAGGTGGGAGAGAATAGCCAGACCTTGGGGCAAGAACCTCGCCTACCCCCTAGGAATGGTCACAATGAGGAAGTGCAAAGTCAGTATAAGGAATAGGAGAGGAACGACTTCTTCCCTTATCAATAGGAGAGAAAAGAACATCACTGGGAGCAACGTTTCAAAGACATCCAGCAAGAACTCAACCAGATGAAGGAGGCAGTGAAGAGCAAGACCCCAGTTACTATGGATGCCTTGGTGCAGCAATCGAATCCCCATTCACTGCTGGGGTGTTGCACTTCCCTCTCCCACATAAATTCAGAATGTTGCAGGTGGATGCTTTCGATGGGACAAAGGATCCCGTGGACTACCTCAACACCTACAAAAATTAAATGGAGTTGTATGAATATCAAGATCCAATGAGATGCAGGGTCTTTGCTATCACCCTAAAGGGCTCAGCCTTAGCATGGTTCAACAGACTCCCCCCCTCCAGCCTTGATTTCCTCTTTTAAAGAGCTGTCAATCTCGTTTGTGTCTCACTTCATCGGAGCTCGAACCTATAGAAAACTGAGCTACCATTTGTTCAATGTGAAACAGGGACCTGATGAGAACCTATGGTCTTATGTCCAACAGTTCAACTCAGAATTCTTGAAGGTGGATGTCCTAGACGAAAAATTTGCTATTACAGCCTTCATAGTAGGTCTGGGAGTTCAGTCAAAAGATTTGATGTTTTCCATCTCAAAGAACCCCCAGGCTAGTATGGCGGAGGTGCTTGCCAAAGTAGAAAAGTACATAAATGGTGAGGAAGCGCTCCTCTCCAAGGTCGGGAGCTCTTCGTCGAGAAAGGAGAAATGGAAGAAAGAAAAGAAGAGAGAACAAAGTCCTAGAAAGGAAAGAGAACGAGGCAGGTCTCCAAAAGGGACAGAGAGCGTTCCCGAAGAGAAAAGGAAATGTTAGGGATCGCCTCGGCCCTCCACAACCAGAGCTACAACCGAGATATGCACCCCGACAGCTTACCCCTCTAACTACTACAGTGTCTCAAATACTGTATGAGGTGCAACATAAGAAGTTTTAAGGTGGCCACCCCGGATGAAAGTAGACCTGACAAAAAGGGATCCTACGAAGTATTGTGACTTCCACAGAGACCATGGTCATCACACTGACGACTGTATCCAATTAAAAAAGGAAATAGAATTTCTAATCCATCAAGGGTAGTTGCAACGCTATATGGTCAATGATAATCAAAATCGAGCTCTCCCACCTCCACCCCCTTAGCGTCAAGCACCAGAGCCACACCAGTAACCTATGGGAGAGATCAGAGTGATATAAGGAGGATTTGCTAGAGGATAAGGGTCCAGCTCTGCCAGAAATGGCCACTTGCGAAAATTCAGAGCCACAGAAGCTCCCGAAGTATATACAGTGTCCAAGTCTCCACGCTTAGACACGGCTATCACTTTCTCAGATTCAGATCTGGAGGGGTGCCAACATCCCCATGATGACCCTTTGGTGGTAAGAGCTGTGGTGACCAATAGGACTGTCCATTGTGTTTTGATTGACAATGGCAGCTCGGCAGACATCATTTTTACTTCTGCTTTTGACAAAATGGATATAGGAAGGGAAAATCTTGAAC